AGCAAGAATTTAAAATATTTTGAAAATGGTGTCACACAGCATTTGTTGTCTCGTAACTTTATGAAAGAAGCTTCAGAAGGGGGGAAAGAAGAGTACAAGACAAGTTTGGGAAAAGTTTTGAGAATGTCACAGAGAAATAAATGAGGAAATAAATAATGTAATAAAATGTTCCAGTTGCAGATGATCCTAGTTTAACTTTCAACTTGTCACTTCCTTGGAAATTAAGTACTGCAGGAGAAAGAGAGGTGATTGCAAGCAATGATAGTAAGCTGCTGCTTGTTAGCTGAGTCACAATAATTGAGCCTGTGTAGCCTGTTTCAGTTGCTAAGTAATGCATGCTAGTGCTTCCTTTTTGCCTGAAGACTTAAATGCCTCGGATATTGTTTGTAGTCAGCTTTACTTAGGTAGACTACATGTGCTATTTATTCATAGAACTTTTTTAAACTTGGCAGACTAAAATCTCCATGTCTTCTCATGGAAATGAGTACTTACGTGCAGTGTAAAGCAGTGTTGCTTTTTCTGTGTTGTAAATAGGTTGCTTTGAATGTACATGAGCAATTCCATTGTAATCCTATTCCTCTTGTTTTTAAGAAAGATGTTTCTGATTTATGTTTAAACTAATAACAGTAGGGATTGTTCCTCTTGAAATTACATGGAGTAGTTAAAGCTTCACTGGTTTCACTGTTTTCCAAGATTTTGCTAATCTAAGCAACAGCATCTATGCACACAATGAGAATTCTCCTAGAAATTGTAATGGCTTTCTAAAGCAGGCAGCTCTTTGCACTCCTGTTGTAGTCTGTGTCCTTTCTATCTCTGTTCATAAACAAGTTTTTTTTTTTGCCTTTAATAATTTTTACTGCTCATCTCCCAACCATTTCAATTTCCACACTAATCTCTTTGAGATTTTGTAATCAGAACTGAATACCATGATCACAGTGAGGATGCATCACTGTTTTACATAATAACATTATAATATTTTCAGCATTATTTTCTGTCTTTATCTCAATACAGCCTAACTTCCTGCTTTTTTCTAACTGTCTCTGCTCATTGAGCAGGTTTTTCAATAAGCAGATGTATCCACCATGATACAACTTTGCTTCCCTGATTGTTACCATGTGAGTCACTAAAATGGTTCCTTTTAATCTGAATCATTTTGCACCTTTCTACTCTGTATTTCATCTGTCATAATGCTCCCCCAGTGTGCTGTAAACAGGATCTCTAAGTTAGTCATGGTATTCTGTACTAACTTAAGAAGTTCATGTGTTCCTCCTGCTGATTCAACTTCACCATTGCTCACCATCTTTTCTTGCTGCTTGCTAAAACATTCAAAAAATTTGGTATAAATACTTTGATCTCTGCTTGTAGTCTCCTTTCTTGAAAAAGGATGATTTATTCCCTAATTTTATGGGTTTTGCTTTTTTAAAGGTGTTTATATCTCATAATAGAAGAGTACCTTGTAACCTTAACTTCTGCACTCTCAGGAGGGATTTTGTCAAAATCCAGGTTGCATGGCTAAATGCACTTCCCCCCCCCCCGCCCCCCAAGAACAGATGAGCTTATTGTAACAACTAATTAGCATTGTTCTTTGCTATCAGATTTGAAAACCTTGTTTTAAGGTGTTCTTTCATATCTTAACGACACTTGTCAGCACCAACACAACTGACAGAAGAACTTGAACCATGAACTGGAGTCTTAAGAAATTTAGGGAAGGATTCACCTTGCTTAACTTAGAGACCAGTTCAGTCTCTGGTGGATGCTAGTTAAGTAGGTTTCTCATAGAGACAAAGAGGCATAGACAAGGAGACATATGCATGTCCAAGGAGCAACTCAAGCTGTCAAAATAGAACAATTTTTAGATAGGTGGAATCTCTAATAGGTATCTTAAGCTATCCATTGTCTCCACTGACGTGAGAGGGGGCTAGGGTAGCTATTCTAGGATAGACAATTAATTCTTAAATGAGTGAAGTTAGGTAAGAGGAATCCAACTGCCAGTAATCACTGGGGTTCAAAAGACATTCTTGTTTATGAATTCCTTAAACAGTTTTCCTAATAATTGGTGTTTTCATAGCTATTTGCTTGCCCACAGCACACAGAAGCAACTTCTACGCATTATAGTGTTCTTCAGCATACCTCATCATCAGGTTCCCTTCTTGCTGTTGTCTGGCTCTTTCCTTCTACATACCAGATTCATTAAATCAGGTCTGTAGTCCCAGTTGTCCTCAGTCTTGTTTTATCTACATTGCCTGCCAGAACTTTTCATATTTCATCATGTCTTACAGCACTACCAGCTTTGGGCTTCTGCCAACTCTAACACAATAAAACGAGCTACTAGGCAGCATTTTGTTATGTAGTCAGTTCCCCATCTGCGTTGTCATTGGCTATCATGCTCCAGATAAACTGTTGAAAAGACATAGACAGCTCTCGGATGGGTGCGTGGTCATTCTTATACATCTGCTTTCCAAATTTCA